TTATAGCTCATTCTCTAGAAATAAAATTAAAAGTATGAAGAATTATTTTCTTGTGAAATTAGAGTACGAGAATTATGATATATTTCACCATGTACTCTAAATATAAATTTTTTTGATACAAGGTCCCTATCAAATCTTGCCCCAAACATGTGAATGAAAAATGCTATTATAACTCACTTACCTAGGGCAAATGTTTTGTATATAGGGCATATAAGTCATCTTGAATATTCACATCTGCTAAGTGGATTTTGCTGTTGTGAGAGCAAAATGTTAGATGCTCGTATTCATACTTTTTAGCTCTATAAAAGACATAATAATTTGGAGTGCATAGCTTATATATCATAAAGAACATACTGGTTCATGAAGATTTTTTCCTAATAACAATATTATTACAACGATATTACTATTCAGTATTAAATTAATTTTATATAATTAAATTAATTTTATTACATAAATTATATGACTCTTTTTAATAAATTATAAAGTATATATATCAAAACCTTGATGCTTAGAGCTAGTAGTTGGGCTCCACAAAATATGTTAACTTTACATTGTAGTTTTCAATTCATAGTACTGTTAGCAATGTCATTATATTTTATTTTTATCTTATTATTCACACTTTTCTGATGTAAGCTTTCGTTTGCTAATCACTCAATTGGCTATATTTAGTTTTTATAATATCAGAGATTAGAATATTCTCTTCTGTTTAAAAAGTGTTTACATGATTTTCTTAAAAAATATATACACATGGTAGCGATAGTATATACTTTAGTTGAACTCAAATATTGGCTTGAAGCCATTTAGAGTGAGGTCCTTCCTACGCTAGAATCGTGATATAGTGATTACACAATCTAAAAGTTGAAGAAGAAATTTCTACAAAGGAAAAATAATTTAATATGTCAAATTAACATCTAATTTATATAATATACGTGGGTAGTGAAGATAGTTATAAAAGTAAGGTGTATATCTTCATAAAAATTTCATAGTTAGTGGCCAGCTACAATCATCTCAATTTAAGCATAATTTATTATTATTTTAGTTACTAATTTGATACGCATAACTATGGAATAAATCTCAAGCAAAAAATATGAATTGAGATTGTATTATCCTATGTGTAAATAAATAAATGTTATTAGAGCTCCTCTTTATATTAAGTTTAAAAGTAATAATTTAAATTATTAAGCACTGAATATTAGTTCATGTGAGAAGGTAAAATAATCTATGGTCCATATACATATTTAGTCAATCAATCAAACGTATTAAAATTATGATGACCACAGTCAAAATTAAAAATAGTGGGTTCACATTAAATATAATTTATAAAAAATAGTACATTAAAGTTAAAATCCTTTAAACCACTATATAGATTGTCTAAAAAATTTTGTATATATAATCTATACTGTCTAGGAATAGTGATGTGCACATTTAACTATCGCCTAATACATCTTAAGAACGACTTACTCTTCAATATCATCATTAATTAACGTATCTATGCATTACACTAAAAACACAATGAAAATTTAGAAAACTATAAAAAAAACACCCTCAAAAGTTTTAAAAATTATAAAAAACCAAAAAATTTGTAATTTACAAATACACAAAACTATTAAACATTACATTGAAATCAAGGAATTGTAAAATATCTTTGAAAATTTTCAAACTTTGGAGGGGTAATTTGTAATATACTCTAAGGTGTTTTTTTGTAAATTTTAAGTTTAATAGATTTTTAATTAGTTACGTTCTTTTCAAAAAAATTATGGGTAATATTGACCATGAAAAGTTTTTCCTAAACCTATACTTTTAAAGGGAGTATGATATTTTTTATAAATTTTTAATATTCTACAGATTGTTAGTAATTTTGTATATTCATTTTAGTGTCTATAGATTAGAAATTCTCATGGTGGTTTTTTTTAAATTATGAATTTTAGGGGTTTTTTACAAATTTTTAAACATATAGGCTTTTTCTACGATGTAAATTGTTTATATACTATTTATAATTCCTATGTTTTCAATTTACTAATGAGTTTGAAATTCTCAGGGTATTTTTTGTAAAATTAAATTTTGAGTTTTTTTGTAATTTTTGAAAATTTAAGGGTATTTTCTATAAATTATAAATTATGTATGGGATATCTGCAATTCCTATATTTTTAATATATTGTTAGGTAAAAAATTATCAGGACTTTTATAAATTTTATTATTTTGAGGGTTTTATTTTGCAATTCGTAGTGTTTATTGTAAATTTTATAAATATTCGAAGGTTGTTTGTATTATTTGTACATTTTTGTTGTGTTTATAGGTTTAAAATTTTCAATGTGTTTTTTACAAATTTTAAGGGTTTTTTTTCGTAATTTTCAAAACTTACAGGATATTTTTCTCCAAAATAAAAGAACTTTCAGTTTCTAGCTAGCATATGTTTTTTAGATTTTTAACTAAAGTAAAATAAATAAAATTTACAATATTCAAGATGTTTTAATAAATATTTTAATTTGTAAGGGTTTTTTTGCAATTTAAAAAACTTGGAAGATGTTTTTTACAAATTCTAAAAACTTTTACGTGCTGGCTAGCATATGTTTCTTAAATTTATCTGTAAACTGAAATAAGTAAAAGATTTGAATTTTATATCAAATGTATTCCCTTTATCCAATAACATGTTAAGTCTCGTTATGAATAGAATAAATCATTTAATTACTAATTAAAAGAAGATAAGATAATTAGATATAAATTAGAATAATAATATAATTTAAAAAAAAATTAAGAATAATATTAACCATCAGAAATAATTTCGATTTCGATCTCATACTTTTTAAAAGGGAGCACGATAATTAGCAAAACTTTGCCAAATATATAGTAGTCAGGTGCTATTTAGCGTCGGTATATTAAATGAGCCACATCCACATGTCAAAGCTTCTACTTTCTCCCGGAACAAACCAGAACTTTTTAAAGCGTGTCCCAACCCCAGCTTCTAGAACCTTCCCCTCACTCTCGCCCTCTATAAAAGCCCTAACCCTCGCCAATTCTTCAAATCCCGAGTCAAAATCGAAATCTGAGCGATCGAAATATGTCTCGTGCCATAGCCTTACTGTCCGCAGGCGCGCGTTCTAGCGCACCCGCCCGCGGGGGGGCGCTACTTCCAGCCATCTCCGCCGCCGGCGGCCGGCGGCCGGGAAGACGAGGGCTCGTCTCCATCCCCGTCCGCTTCGTCGCGGTCGAGCCGTCGCCGAGGAGAGAGCGGCGCCGCGATCAAGATCAGATAGGCGTTCCGGGGGTTCCATCGTGAAGGAAGAACGTGGGATCGCGCGGGGAATCGAGGTGGAGGTGGACGTGTTGGAGGTGAGGTTCAGGAGGAGGAGGAGATGGATCGATCGTGAGGGAGGAGCAAGGAGAGGAAAAGATGAATGAGATGCTGATGAGGCTGTTTAGAGGCTGATTCGGTGAGAGGGGTTAGGGTATTATCGGAAGAAGGTGATTCGGAGGGTGATCGCGCTTCAGGAGATGCTGGTGCGATCGCCGCAGGGATTCAAACGCCTAGCATCGGCGGCGGATGAGTCGCGAAGACACGCGCGAAAGGCATCGAACCTGATGCTGTGGTCGAAGAAGATGAAACCCTAGTAGGATCGGGCCAACGCCTGCCAGATGATGGCGAACGCCCTAGAATCGCGGGGGAAGGATTCGCATGGTAGATTCCTCGAGAAGAATCGAATCCTGATTCTGTGATTGAAGAAGCCGGAACCCTAGAAACTGATCAGGTCAAAACTATGGATTTCCGTCAAGGTAACAATCCTGATGCTACTAAAACCCCAGAAACCGCAGATCATATCGATCATATGGAGATTCCTCAAGACAGCAAGCCCGATGCTGCAATTGAAGGATCCAAACCCGTAGAAACTGCAAACGAGATCAATCCTGTGGAAACCTCTCTAGAAAACGAGCCTGACGAAGGCGGAACCCTGGAAACCGCATCTGTGATCGGTCCTATGGAAATCCATGTGGATAACAAGCCTGAAGAACCCAAAGCCCTAGAATTCCCTCTAGACGGCAACGCTAACGACGTATCTGAAGAGGCTGAAACCCTAGAAGCTCGAGATCAGATCTCCAGCGGCTGGGAGATTCTCGACACGAAAGAAGATGGAGAAGAGAGCGTCGAGATCGCAGAAGCTAAAGCAACGAAGAAGGACGCTGCACAGAGCGACGGCGGGGTGAAGGATGCAATGGAGAGAGTGGCGGGCTGAGAACGAGAAGCTGAAGGGCCTGGTGGCGGAGCTCTGGCGAGAGGAGCGCTCAGCAGTGTAAACTGAATGGTTGATGGCTCGCGGAGAGAGTGGAGAGCCTTGAGAAGACGGTGGAGAAGATGGAGAGGAAGAACAAGAAGAAGAAGAAGGATGCGAATAGCCTGCCGCCTACAAAGCAGTTGCAGTAGTCAAGAAGAAGAAGAAGATTGAAGAGAGAGGAGGTTAGGGTAGGCTTTTCTTTTGATAGTATTTCTTTGGTTTTTAGTTTTCCTTTTGAGAGGGATAGCAGATGAATATCAACACGGTGGTGATAGAATATTAGGAAAAGCGGATCGCCTGTAATGGATTTGATTTTGGTCCTATTTAATTTTTTGGTTATCATGCTGTTAGTTTTCTTGATGTGGGCTTGGTATCAAGTATGAGCTTGGGAGTTGGAACGAATTTTGACGCGGTTTGCCTCGGCAGCAGCCCCTGTGAGCAAACATTCTCCCTACCTGAATACTCTCGTTCGTTTTCTGCTCCCATCCCCCTTCTGCGAGACTGAAGATCGATCAACAAAAGCAAAAATAGATCTAGGAAGCCAAATAGGAAAATTGAACCAAAAATATTCTTAAAAGTGAGAGGAACTGCTTAATCTGTTGGGTTCATTTAGACTCTCAGAGGGCAACCATGTGAGATTTCCACTTTCACGATTTTAATCAGCAAATAGATAAAAAAAGGAAATGGAAACGTGAAGATGGAGGGACAAAAACTCAAAATGTGCAAAGGGTAAGTACAGTTCTGATCATCAAGCGCATCATTCCTCTAGGAGACGGGAAACTACCGAGAACGACATTATATCTCAATTTGTTATTTTACGCATTCAGTGACTTTGGTGGTGGTGTTTCGTTTTGTTCAGATTACATCGATTACAAGAATATAGTTATGACATGTACACATTAAACATATGCCGAGGAATCCCGTTTCTCGTGCACCATCTTCTCCCATTTTGGTGATGGCATTAATTTGTCATTTGGTCACGCCTGCCCGCACTTGCTTAAACAGTTGAGCCCCTCCTCCATGTAGTCCTGCCTGGTTATCCAGAATTCTGGTGCATCCTGCTCTCACCAACCAGCAAATACCTTAACTAGGTTTTGTTGATTTTAATAAAAAAAAAAGCGTAAATTACACAACCCTCAATAAGTTTGGTCCGATGGGCGATTAAAAATAGATTCAGAAAATTGCAAAAGTTTTCGGTTTAGTGGCTTTCCAAACTTTTTGGGGATTATCTCAAGACAGGCCAAGCTTCTTCTTGAGGGTTCTGTGAAATTTTCTCTAAAAAATAACTATATGGATATCTATGATTAGATCCATTTGCATCAGTATGTTGGCTGCAGTTAGGTAGAAAAAGTCGATGTACAAAGTTTAATCACAACACCCCAAATTTAATCACAACACCCCTGCATTAGAGCAAGGTGTTCGGAGCCTTTAAAGCTCAATTGTTTCAGTTTAGAGTTCAGGCAACTTTGCTTGTGAGCAGAATGTTTTGATAAAATTTGTATCCCCAAATTAATGTTACCTTCATGATTCCTGCAAGCACTGCACCTCCTAGATATACCATATGCTTTCTTCTCGGAGGATCTTCAATTCTCAAACGTAGCTTCTGTAAGCATAAGAAAAGGAATTGTACATGAAAATGATGTTCCTACATGCATAAGCTATATCAAAAGCTACGGTACACGATTTTGCTCTACAGTCTGAAGAAACTACTCTGATTATCAAGTTCTTTGTTACATGTGGGGCAATGAGATACAATATTGTTGATCAATTATAAAAAAATGATGCATGGTTCCGTGCGATTTGGGTAGATTTCAATAGAGTATAATGTTACTCACAACCAGCTATCTTATAAGGTTTAAAGAAGGGTGGTGTTGTCTTAAAGCTGTATAAGTCAGATTTTGGTTTCCTCAGTTCTTATCCAAGTTTAGAAGCAAAAAGTGTAATATGCAAACATAGTTGCAGAAAAAATTAAATTCCTTGCAATAAGTAACTTTAATGCCGAAGAAGATTTAACTATTGTAATTAGCAATGTGAAACGGGCATAAAGGTATTAAGTGGGAGATGATGAAACTGAAGAGGTCGTGTACAATTTTTTAAGATGCAGTCTAATAGATGATGTATCCAATTGCAGAAATCTGGTCCACTGTTTTCTAGGAACTTTCTGGTTTAAGTCAAACTCCAAAGTTCACTCTTTCTTATAGGCTCGTCAGAATAACTGAAACCCCCAACTAAATTAATATGGAAAGAATTTCTAACAGCAGGCTACCATTAGCTGACAGCTCTTAGGGTGTTTTTTCCCCCATGTAAAGTGAATTGGGAAGAGAGTTTGTAACCAATGGTCTCATATATCCATGAAGCCTAATTAAGAGATACCTGTTTACAGAGGTCAATATGGTACAAAGGTGATCGTGTTCGAGCCCTGATGTTGATCATTCTCTAAGGATTATGAATGATGAAAAAGAATGTGGAAAAAACTTGAAAGAGAAAATTACTAGATATTCTTTCATGTTTAAAGAGAAACACAGACATGCACAGACAGCTCCATGCCAGATCAATGATGAGATAAAATGTAACAATAGCAACAAAATGCAAGAATCAATGATGACAAGGAGCATTTCAGATGCATGAGATCTCAGTAATGGTTGAGGGTACAATCAAAAAAATAAAATATCATTGTACCTTTAGTCCATCCTTATTTCCCTTCAAGACTACGTCTAGGTAGCGGTCAAGAATTTCCTTCTCCAAGCTGTGGAACAAAGCCATAACTTGAATACATTAAGTGCAGGTGCACAGATGCAAAGAAAATGTAGGTTCCGAACAATAAAACTATTGATCAATTTTTGTTCAAATTGAAATACCAAACAAACCAGATTTCCGGTTACATGCAAGATCTTTGATCATTTCAAGTTAATTAAGAAGGCATGCTCATCTAGACTGAGCAGCAGCTGGTATGCAATATCTTAAACACATTTTGGAATATGTAATCTCCCTGTATCTCTATGTATCTCTAGTAATGTAAAAAGTACAAGATGTGCATTACGATGTGTTCTGTTCCATTGACCATTTCCTTGAAGAATTAGAATAAACTGATTATGCATATTTCTCTTATCTCTTTCCCCCCCATTCACTTTATGGAAAACCGTATCTTTTAGTATATGACATACAATATCAAATGAGACATTGGTACTGAGATGATTACTAGTGACGAGGAAAGAATAAAGGATAAGAGCCTATTCTCAATAGGCATTACAAACTCAATGGGTGTACTGTCACAGCCACAAAGCTAGGAAAGTGAAAGAGGATAATCAATAATTAGGCTTCAAGAACCTCATAGCTGGTAACTCCTATTCCTATATGTTAAGATCTCAAATTTATTGATAGAAAGAAGTGGCTTATGAAGTTCGGAACCGGCACGAGTAATTGAGCAAAGTTTAATTTATCCCTCACTAGTGTTGCCTAATAAAGGCCCCCAGCTTTGTTGTGGCAAACAACGGGATAACATAATCTGTTCTCATAAAAGATGTGAAGAAACATGCAGTCACACACGTGAGCTTTCGGAATCATTGTGATTAATGGTCCAACAACAAATATATAATAAGAAAATAGAAGAAACCAAACATACAACCAGGATCCCTCAAAGCAACTGTGACAAGTAGCCAAATGAACATATACGATTAATGAATAGCTATAGAACGTGTCAGAAGTGTATACTAAACTCCTCAATTGAGTAACCAGTGGTTTTGACAACATTACGATGTTTTGTATTTCATTTTCATTATCTCGTCCCCACAATTGCTAAACTATGTTTGAAATGTGGGTAATTTACAGAAGAACATTAATAAATTCAGTTTGTCGAGGCCAACACTTAATGCATCAGAAAAAGAAATCTAGTATACAATTGAGAGAATGTGTCAACATGTTTAGGACGCATGAGGCATGTCAAAGAAAGAAATAAATGTTCTTAAAGGAAGTCATTTTTAAGAAGTCATTATACCGACTGGGCAATCCTGGATACATAGTGCTCCCACCACTAAGAACAATATGTTGGTAAAGCTGCCAAAACAAAGCAAATTATTGAAGTAAAGGCATCACCACAGAAATGTGCTCAATATATTGTGTAATTCTAGTAAAAGAAAACGGTATAGTAACGATAAAATATATACAGATTGAAACTACATAGGATTACGGGTTTTCTATTACAGATTTCAGAATAAAATTATAGAAGACATAAAGCAGAATTCAGGACAAAGTGGAAACGTAGGTTCAAGCTTAAGGGGGTTTAGCCCAAAAACACCAGTTTCTTTTTTTATAAAAACGAGGACATAAAAATACAAAAGAAAGTGGCTAGGTTAGGGAAAAGCAGAAAAAGGATAATAAAAGATCAATTAACACCAAAATCATAAAAACAACTATACATGTATAAAACGTAAATCTATAGAATGCTCAAATACTATACACCAAAATCATAAAACAATTATAGGTTTCATTATTATAACCCTTGTTACAGTGAACCACCCCTAAATTAGGCCCTGTTTGACTTTACCACCCCTACTTGCTTGAGTTTCAAAAAACCACCTCCACGTGCTATTCCATAAACATACAGCCACCTATGCCCATTTCCGTCCAATTCTTTCATTAATGTTGATGAAAAAATAAGTACAGCCCTGAAGGGAAATTTACTTAGGGCCTATTTCACAATACCACCCCTAATTAGCCATGTTTCAAATTACCACACCTAATTACAATCATTTCCATTGTCCTCAGTTCCCTGTAGTATCATCATAGTTAATAATTACAACCAAGAGGGATGTTATTAAGCATGGTATTTTGAAACTTTGGTAATTAAGGGTGCTTTCCTGAAACCCTAACTTAGAGGTGGTTTCATGAAATAGACCGTTGCCTAGGGGTAGTTCCCTGTCACCCCATTAGACTTTGAATCGGTTATCCATTCATATTAACAAAAAATTTGGGAGGAAATAGGCGTAAATGATTAAGCATTGGCAGAATGGAACATAGGGGTGGTCTTTTGAAACTTAGTAATTAAGGGTGGTAACGTCAAATAGAGCCTGATTTAGGGGTGGTTCTATGAAAAAAGCCCCTTGTTATAATGATAAATCATTTAGTTAATCGTGCATTGGATATGTCACATGAACTCTAGAAAAACTATCCAGTAATCAATAATTCCCTGTGTAAGGAAAAAAAGTGACTGGTCCTCCCTACAGAAACCTGAAACCCAGTTTGTCCCTCTACGTATATGTAGTACGTAATAGATCGGTTATGAAAAGAATTCTATTAGCCGGGTGACTACTTCTAGAATTTAATTTCATTTTATTATTTTTATTTTTATTTTTCTGTCCATAGACAATTACAACGTATTTGAACTAGATGATGTGGACAAGTGACCTCTGTCCATATGAAAGATAGTAATTAACAAGTTAATAGGGTATAAGACAATTATATTAACATTAATAGGGAATAAGACAATTATATTAAAATGTTCATACACCTAGTATGCTGAACATGTGCAACAGAAACCTAGTCCTGATGTCTGAGTTAAAAAACGATCGGAACATCAAACTAGCAAATAGCATTAGAGTCCTCATAGGGAATTAAAACTAAAGTTAGGGAAAACAAGTTCTATCTGATAGTTCGAAACTGAAGACTAAACAAGACAACAAAATGTAATTTTGCCAATAAATGACAATATTATGCGAGAAACTTCAATACCATCATCCTGTTGTCAATATCCATTTCTTGAATGCACCGAAAAGCCATGTCAGCCAGGCCATCACCTTCAACATCAATGAGTTCCTGTATTGAAGATGCGAATGGTCAACAACCTTTAATGCATCTCCATATCACGTAATGTAAAAGAACTGCATTATTGCCTTATTGGCTAACTTATTGTCAATGGTCTTGTTCAAATAAAGAGCTTGGAAGAATAAGTAAAGACTCCCATGGCCTTTAGTTGAACAAGGAAATCACAGCCACTGCCTTCAAAAGTCTGGGTAGTGGGAGAGCTGCTCCAGGGTCGTATAGAAGAAGAATCATATGTCCCTAGGTTAATCCATAAACAGTACGTAAGAAGAATCTGAACTTTAAGAGCTGATGGTCTTCTCTATTGCGAAGTCAAGGTCACAGGATTATTATTTCAGAAACTGACAAACTGGTTAACAGCTCTCATGTTGTGGAAAAAAAACGACAAAGGTAAAGAAGCAAACTCCCAAAAGAGAAGACAATGAACTGCATATTCAATAACATTTGAAGGTTTTCCTTGAACCCAGAGAAGTTTGGGCACAAAATGAAAATGAAACGAAGACACAGCTAATGATAGTTATAAAATTCATCTAAATAGCACTACTAGTTCAATTTGATTAACAAATAACAAATTTGATTTCCAACAGAACTTTGTAACTCTTATTCTTAAGGATCATCAAATTATTTTGCTTGTACTGGCACATTTGACCAGCTGGATAACTTATCTGTAATTGCCCTTGGGTTCACATCTCTTTTAACTCCTAAAAGCATCACTATTCAAAAGGAACATAATTTCTTCGAAATAACTTATCAAAATTTTAAAGAGAACGGAAGATTACAACATATGATCAGAACACTTCTTTAATTGTAAGATCCAGGACTCTATAAACCATAAGGAACACTCTTTAATCACAGAGTTGAGAAAGCGCAAGTGAAAGATGAAACAAGAAAGTTATATTTATTTACAAATTTCCTCGCATCAACACAAGGATGCTACTAGTTTGACCATGAGGTAATCTATTTTCCAGACCACTATGGTACTACAAATAGTCAGAGTTCAAATTTCATGCACATCACAACACTACAATTGCAAGATATGGTGTAAAACACTTGTTTCATTCATGTAGCTTCATGGCCCAAAATTCTTGAAAGCTTTGAGAAAGTACTGAGAACCGGGGAAGAGGGAAAAAGGAGGGGGGAAATGGGGTACATACTGGAGTGAAGAGAGCCTCAGGTGCCTGAAATCGTTCAGTTCCAACTTTGATTACCCTTCCATCTGGCAGCTGATGAAGAAAACTCAGGACTCCAACAACATGAAAAGATAAAATATAGACAATAGAAAAAAACAGCCGGAAAGGAAGGTTAACCCTAACTATAATATGTAAAAACGGAGATAGGCCTTAAAAACAACAAATAGAGATGGAACTGACACAGAAAGCAAAATATTAATCTTTTAAAAAAGCCTCTACTGCTTCCTACTGCCTCCGTGAGCAATATTATAAACTGATATTTTACTCACATCTGAACCACAGGACACGATATAAACTATAAACTATCTGCTTCTTTTCCACAAGCACCTGCTGTGATAATTTGTGATTTACTACTACATTTTCATTTCATACACCATTAAATCAAGAAGCCATCTCTAACCATGTGGATAACTGTTTGTAATATTCATTTTTTAGTGCTATGACTGGTACACCAAACTTTGAAATATTAGAAATTTGGACGTGAGAAAGATCCAGCAATAGTTCTATCAAAAGAGTACAGTTCATAGTAACAATCGGAGGAGAACCATGCAAGTGCAGTTTAAATACCAAAATGCAAGGTTAAATGATTGTGATTGTAGATGATATCCATCAACACAAGGTGATATAACCAGGATCAGATAATATCTAATAATGCAAGCTAATATAAGTAGGACCCTTTTGTATTTGTAGCAAATAGCAATGTTCTTCTAGTGAGTCTGTAATTCTTAATAGAATTTCTCAGCTGAGTCAAAGACAAAACATTTGATGATCTACTTAAGATTATTCAGGGATCGTTTATTCTTTAAATACGATATAACCAAGAGGACACAAATATGGCCCTCAAATAAATTTAAAAGGATAGAGGAACGAAACATAACAAACTTGTGAAATGAAACTATAAACATAACTAAGCGAAATGTAACATATGACTACAAGTAAAAACAGTATGACATGGTTACAAGATAATTCACTTACAGTGTAATTCTTGACCAGAATGGTAGTTTCTAGACCTAACTGGTACTCACGCTTGTAATCATAGCTGTAAAATATATGGTTTAGTTGTATACTAAGATTATCAAGATAATCAATACCAGCAAGTAATGTCAGTCTGAAAGCACGATACCTGATATAACAGAGCTTCTCTTTTATGTCCCTTACAGTTTCAAAATCCACATTCTTATTCATTGCATACCTTCAGAATACAAAAGGCAGCCTGATCAGAAGCGAGAATCCTTATTCAAGCATGCTGTGTATTATGTTTAATTAGTATCAGTAATTCTCACCCTCTTCGAGAGAGTAGATCAACAAGATAAGATGTTATGTGTCTGCCAGCTACATTCATTCTCTTCGTGAGATGTGGAAATGAGTAACCATCTACAACTGGCACCTAAATAACCAACTGATATAAGAAAATATGAAGGAAGTCCAGAAGGAGAAAGTAAAAACAGTTTGAACAAGGGAAAAAGTAAAATAAGAATGGATGGTTAGAAAAAGAGCAGCAGAAAGTAATAATACAGTTTGCCGAACCAAGAAAGTAAGTTTACATGCAATACATGGTACATCATTGGACAAACTTGAGTGCAATTAGGAGGATTTAGACCCAGCAGAAATACAGAAAAATATATGATTCAGTTGACATCATATGTTCCCATGTACTAACTACTACGAGAAAACTTAGATAGCAAGATAAATCTCATAAGATTATGTAATGTTATGTCAAGTGACTAGAGATGCAGAACAATTGACAAGACCTACCATCAATTTGAAAGTTTTTAAAAGGTAGGCTACAAGAAAAAGCATCTTAAGTCCTGTACATCTAGCTAAAGGGCTTTTATGATGCTCATCCCCCAAAAAGTACATAATGTAAAAATAGGTCCCCAAAAAGATGATATGTCAAAATAAGTCCCTTAACTTGTTTATGTTGCAGAAAATAGCTCCCTCAAGTTAAACATGTTACTTTAACCTATAATTAGTGAATAGCCATATGTTATTCATGTTATGTTCTTGGCTGTTGCTGTTTGTTGTCACTGCCGCTGCGGATGCTTCTGTTATTGTCTCT